ATTAGCAGAAAAATAAATGCAGTGAAGTCTGAAAATGATTTAATCAAGTACCAAGTAAAAAAAAAACAAACAAAACTAGTTAACAAATCGCAAGATAATTTTGTAATTTACAAGAAATTAAAATTAGCAAATCTTACACTCTTACTTATTAATATATATAATTTAATTAAAGGAAAAAAAAATGAGAAGAAAATACAGTACAATATGGAAGCAATAAGCAATTGCGTCGGATTTTGACTAGACAACAATATTTGTAAAAGTTTTGGGCTGGCCTACGAATCTAGCCACTGGATTCATAGTTTATCTAAACATCTTAAATTTTGTTTACTTTTTTTTTTTTTGAGAAATCAACGCAATTCAAAAGGTGGCTTATTGGATGAAAACTTCTAAGGCAGCTAATGTATAAAAGTCAGCGATTTGTATCAAATTTGTATATAGAACAGATGCATATGTAACATGTCAAGTATTTTGTATTGCAGCATGCTAACTAAAATACAGATTGCCTTAAACCAAACAAATTTTGTCTTAAATGTGCGTTATAAACATTTGCGCACCTATTGTTTTTTGGGATATTTGCTCGCTCTCTGATCCAGTTCCGTATGGAATATAAGGATACAGCAACAGTTTAACATAAAACATTTATTTTGATGTGCCACTCGCTATTTAATTGAAAACCAAGTCGTTATAATTGCGCAACAAATGATACGGCGAGACACGACAACAGGTGGTGGTGCGCACCACCGTGATACGGTCGGCGCGTTCAAAGTTGGCCTTCACTGTTTCATAATAACGACCATCGCTGTAAAGGCATTTGGAAGCAAGATTCTTGAAAACATATATGGCAGAAAATTTAAAGCTTACCTTAAAACCATGCAGCGCAGCTTTAGGCACTTGACGCGCAATATATCAATAGCCTTTTGGCTTTTGTCGGAGAAACGCAAGTTGTCCGGGTCCCAACGCAGCTCTAGACGCTCCAAATTTCCACAGTTGGATGCAATGGTGTCCATCAGCTGATCCACGTGTATATTGACGCCCAGTTTCTCAGCCGTGCCCATAACTATTATTCTGTACGGCAGTCAATTAGTCATTTACTGATCATATGCACCGCCTGCGCTTCGCTCTACTTACTTGCAGTTGCCCAACATGGGCAGTATGCTCATCCAGAGCTGATCTGTAATGTGCGGCATGCCAGATAGGCAGCACGCGCTCAGCTGATGGCCATGGCGCTGCAGAAATTTAAGCATGCCTTCGTCTGTTATGTTATCCGAGGAGTCCAAGTCCAAGGAGTTGAGGGATCTGCACGAGTAGATGAGAGTCATAAAGTTAAGCAACTAAATATATTGCTCTATAAGATGTGGACCTGGTGTTGCCCTGTTCCATCCATTGCTTCAACACAGTATCATTGAATCCATTGATTTGGCCGGCAGATAGAAACTTCAGATTGGGTATACGCGTTAACATGTCCACCAGGCACTCGCTAGTCAAATCGGTAGCCGTAATGTCCAGCTCTTGTAGCGCGCACTTATCCCATTCCACCTGCATTACAAACTCTGATTTTAAGCTCGTGCCATTCATGAGCAGGCAGGTCAATCGCTTCGAGCGCTGCACCAACGTCTTCAGTGTGGAACCGGTGACCTTATTGCAAAAGTTAACAGCCAGGCACTCTAGCTGTATGCAGTTGGAGCTGAAGGCATCAATGTGCGAGTCGTCTATAAAATTAATGCCATACAAATTGATGACGCGCAAATTGGGCGTGGCCGATTTAAGTCTGTGCACATTAATGACTTCGTAAATTTCCTCCTCCTCCTCCTCGCACTTCTCATAGGTGCCAACCAAGTGTAGCACCTCCAGACCATTGATAAAATTGTAAATTTTGCGCATGAAGCCCTCCATGAAGATCACCTCAGACAAGCAAATGCACATGTAGCGCAGTTTGGTGGGAAAAGCCTGCATCTCGCTGAAGTCATGCAATTGCATAGCTGAGGGGACAAAGAAGAGAATATATTAGCTACCATTTGACTGGCGAGACTAATCATTTACCTGTAGAGAAGTCCAGCAGCATGTGGGTTAGATTTGGACACTTAGCCGACAGCTCGTGCAGCACCGTGTGCGTGATAAGCTCAATGGGCAGCTCGATGTAGCGCAGCGTAGGTCCAAATCTTACCGATATTAGAGAAAGCAGCATCTCCAGAGAGCCGACGTGCAGCCCAGAAACCTCCGGTCGCAGCGATACATTCTTCCACAAGCGCGTATCGTAGGCGATCTTACGCCAGCGACGACAGATGCGGGCCAGCCGACAAATCTCCCGATGCGACAGATATGAAAATATGTGCAACAGCACCTTGTCGGGCAGCTTCTCAATCGTCTGCAAGAGAGATGATCATATATATATATATATTTATTAAACTGATACTGATCAATACATATCAGTCAGCCCGTGGGCTCTTGAATGAAGTAAATACCGTGTCGGCGAAGGGACTACGCATGGTGCCATCGGATAGGTACACCTGCGAGGCCTCTACGGCCAGCTGACCCCAAATATCAGTAGAAATATCCATTGTTCTGTATAGTATCGATAGTATACTATATGCTTTGCTTATATAAAAGAAATATCAGTGCGAGAGATACGCGCGTTGCCGAGCACCTTCAACGTCTGTCTAAATTAGCTGTGGCTACTTGGCGCTACTGTGAGGAATCTCCAAAAAGCCCACTAACATTTGACACACTCGCAGGCAGGCAGGCAAAAAGCTAAAGAGAAAAGCCACCGAGGAGATCCTATTTATAGATGAGCGCTAGTAATGTTTAGAGCAGCCAAAACAACAAAATGCCAAGAATTTCTAGAGCATGTCGTTGCCTTTTGGTGGTCAGAAGAGCGAAAAACTCTGGGCCTGCTAAACAGCTGTTGGGTTGGCCAGTATACATGTATATGCCTGGGTCTAAACACTCCCAACATGTGTACAACCTGAATATATCGTATATTGTATACAAGCTATATGCCTCGCATTCTACGCAATCATTTTCATTTTTGTTTTGCTTACTGCATGTTATTTGGGAGGGGGCTTTCTCGGCGGTACTCACCAGACGTGTCTTGACCACCGCATTGAGATCATCTCGTCCAATGGCCTGGGATGAGGTTTGTGCTGCCAAAACGTTCCAATTATCCATAATGCTTTTTCAATATTTAAATAACTTGGGTGCTATTTTCTGGTTGTTTATTGCGGGACTTGCACTCTAAGATCTATTGTCTGTATAGAATGTAGTATGTATAGTGAGGCGCCGGTTTGTGTCGGTGTATTTACTGTTTCTATAAGTAGCCAAGGAATTCATTCATCAATTATGTTTATTATGCAAATTTTTCATAACGACTTGATTTTTTTCAAAGCTAAGGTATGAGAAATACTACATGCCTTCCTTTAAATTTATGAAATTTTACTAATTTATTGGACCATCGGGCTCTGCCCGAAACATTTCTCAAATGCATTTGCAATAGTTCTTTTGGTAAAGAAAAAAGATTCATGCAACCGATTCCTGCCAATTTCCTCAGTTCTTAAGTGGACAATCGATCAGTTTGTCAGTCAGGCAGTTTTATATTAATAGATTAATTGGATAAATATAGTCAGCTAAATAATTCTAGTTTTTCTTTAATAATCAGTAGGTATAAAAAAAAGTAATCAATTAGACTCTTAGAGAAAAATTATGTTTTCACATTTCACTTTATATTAATTTAGTAACAAGGAATATATTTTCACTATACTGACAACATTTAAACTATGTGCGCTTTCAATATGGGAAAATTGAATTTATATAAATGAAATATTTAATTTAACTTCAGTATTTAATTTGCTTTTATCGCATTCAATTTTTGAATTTATTTCCTAAGCTTTAATTTAATCTGTGAACTATTAAAACTATGTTATTGTTGTGTATATTCCCCGGTTCTTATATGTATGACAATTTTTACGAGAACGAAAGTTGTTTTTACTAAAAAATACTTATAATTCCTATTGAATGTGGTTTAAAGTAACCCTCTATTATCTTCAACTTGGAACGCTCAAACATAGCTTTGAATATAAAAAGGCTATTAACAGCGGAAATTGTGATCATTTACAAGAAGTTATCATTCATCAACACATACAAATAATGCCAGTTTCCGGTAGACTCACAGACTCTTTATCTTGCAATATAATATAATATAATTTACATAAGATGGTTTGGTTTTGATTTATAAATGAATTATTTAATATTTAAAAGGGTCTAACTAATGCTAAGATTTTGCTATGACTATCTGAAGGGCTCCAAATTGCAAACATATTTACCCATTTCGCATTAAAATATGTTAGTGGTCGTTTTAGTAGAATCTAAAAATGTAACTTTAAGACATATGTATATTATACTGACAGTTTAGATCAAATATAAGTTTAGGGCACTCGCCACATGCCACAACAATGACATCATTGTCAATGCATTGATGTGAACAATAAAAATGATGTTCCGTCTAATGTATTACAAAAATTATGCACAAATTTTGTATAATTTGATCATGTTCTGGGAAAACCAGACAAGATACATACAAACACATGTATGTTATACCTTTTGGGCTATTTATAGGCAATTGTTGGTCTGCAATGAAAATTTCTAGAGGCTGCAATTTTGCAATTTCATGCAATTTCGTAACGCCCACAATTATAGGCACTTTTTATTGGTTAAGTGGCACATTTGTTTTCACTTTGCCTTCAGCATAGTCCAAATACAATAAACTACTAGTAAGTCAATACTTTGGCAAATACTTTATGTATTCGGTTTATTTGTCCGTTTGACGTTTGCACTCAAAATTATCCGCGTCGTTGAGAGTTCCACAGTGCTCATGCAACTGAGATCAGGCGTCCGCGAAAAATGGTTTTTGCCAAAATGTACATGGCCCGGTAATGGCGGCCAGCCAGTACGTAGCAGGATGAAGCAGCATGGGACGGGTCGCTTTTGTTGCGCGCGTCATTTGTTGTACCCGGCAGATGCTTGGCAGGCATGCTAAGTGATGGCGCCTGGCCAAAAAGCAGGCGTCTTAGTTGTTTTCATACACCTTTCATTCATATTATGCACATATGTACATACTTATTATTACACGGTCTTGTTGGAAGTCGCGTCGATTCAAATAGTAACGAACAGAGCTGCCAAGTTGTTTTTTACACACATGCTCACTGGTTAAGCGTGCGTCAGCTGCCATGCACATACACAACCGTTGCCGCTATTTGGCGCTCTTCCTGTTCTCTTCCCTCTCGCTCTCTCTCCTCTTTTTTCCAGAGCCAGAGCGCTCGCTCCGATCAGAGTCAAAACAAGACGATTCAGTCGTTTTACTGCTGCGCGCGCAGACGGTTACTCGCACGCAGAACGTACAGTGTCTTTCGACGTAGGTGTGTCAGCTTAGTGCGCTTGTGTAAGTGTATGTGTCAGCGGACAGACTTCTCCCAAAGGCTACTTGCCGTTTTGCTGATGTTTTTAAGTTTTGCATTCTGCTTAAATCTTTTTTCATAAATGAAAATAAACAATTTATTATTTATAAGAACTTATGCGACTGCAACGGCACACAAATTGTTTGTTTATATTGGGTACAGTGCAGCAAATGCAGTCGCGTGTGTGTGTGTGTGACGCCCCAAGAGCGCGTGAGAGGGAGTGTGAGAGCGTACAAGAAAACCTGCGCAGGTGTCCGACGAATAATGACGCCGACGTCGTTGCGGGCAGCGCAGTACGCCCAAAGACAAACAAGTGCATAAACAATTTCAAAAATTACCTTAACTGTGCCTCAATTGAAAGAGCTATTAATTAATTAACATTCAATTTTATGCAGCCCATCCAAAAAGTCGCCCATCCATCAGAAAGATGTCATATAGCGCGGAGCGTGCGCTTTCCTATTTCTATCCCTTTATCATTCTGACTTCGCTGATCTGCTGCATCACCTCGGCAGTAGCCTGGACACATTGGCGCTATGTGCTGAACGCCTGCCCAGACACCAACTGCGGCTGTGTGTTGCACGGCCGCACCACCTACAACAGCTTCGAGGGCGGCAACATAGCGTATTGCCACTATGCCACCTATGGACTTATTCTACCGCTGATCTTTGCCGTGGTGCTGGGCGTGTATCATGGCTATCGCATGTGCATTGGCAAGGGTAAACGGAAGGCTGGCACCACAACCATTCGACAGCGGTAAGTGCTGCCTAATTCTAATTCAGACTGGGGTCATGTGGGTTAATCGGCGGCAGCAGCAACTTGCGACACTCGCAAGACTGGCCTAATTAAGCCTTATGCTAATGGAAGACCCAAATGAGAGATGACTGAAGCAAATGCGAGACTACACCAATTTAATTGAAAACTTGCAATTACTCACCCGTTGTGTTGTTTCCGTTCTCTCTTGCATTCTATCTTGCAGCTCTGGTGACATGGTCGTGGTGACCACCGAGTCCGAACTGACGCCCGATAGCCTCTCGCCCTACTACTGTAAGTAGAAACACCAGATTATCAACGATCGCCGTAATGATATTATTGTCTTTGCTAGGGCTACCTGCCACGGTTATATCGGTCATTATGGCCGTTTACCAGCTGATCTATGCTGCCATATTTACCGATGGCTTTGAGGTCACCTGCAAACAGTATCGCGAGTCCTTGCTCAAGGAAATTCAAGGCGTTGGCAATATTGTGCCCGTGATCAAGGCGCGTCTGTCCTGTGCAGCGGTTTTTGATTTTATGGACTATCTGGTGGAGAGCATTTCATATGAGCGTCGTCGTTACGGACGCATCAATACCGCTGCTTGCTTGTACTTTACCCTCGTCCTCGCCTGGTTTGCGCTTTTCGCCTGGATTGCCATATGCGTTATCAATATTGTTAACTTACGCCGTACCCGTGCCGCTCGAGTCTAAAATGCGAACAAAATGAAAACGAAACAAATGTATTCCACTGCACATTCACCTTATCATTAATCATAGAGAGCACATTACACGCCACTTATTTATAAGTTCTTAAATAATAACGTCCACGGCATAGTTTGCCGCTATTTACAAGTTGTACAAATAAATGTATGAACAATTTACATTTAAATTTTTTTTTTTTTTTTGAATAGGTGCTTATATCGCGCCATGATGGTCGATAAATTTGCTAAAGTAACCATGTACTCAATAAACAAAGAAATCTTCAGATTTTTATGCGTGCAATTATTGTTACCGATTATTTTTCCCAAAGACTGTTAATTGAATTGCACCGCCGAGGCCAACTTTTATTCTTGGTCACGTATAAATAACGTTTCCCACGTATAATTGTTTTCGCTTAAACACCTACAGTTTTTTTTATCGATAGTCGATAGCATTGGCTCCATCTGCAAAACATCGATAACATATACATTAAAGTTGTCTTCGATTTTTACTGCTGACGTGCCGCAACCGAATTTGTTTACGCATTAGAAGTGCAAAATTCAGAAATCTCAACATGCTTGATATACAGACACACATGGTAAGCGTCACAGTTTCCAAGCTGCTACGAAAACGGTATCTGAACTTTTAAATCTTTCCCAGGACTTTGTTGGCCAGGCGAAAGCTGAGCGCTGGTCCCGTTTAATCATAACATTATTTGGAGTTATTGGTCTTATATATGGCGCGTTTATGCAGCAGTTTTCTCAAACTGTTTACGTGCTGGGTGCTGGGTTCCTGTTATCTTCACTGGTAGGTGGATCATCAAATCACAGCTAAGTCGTAATTCGAGCTCTCTTATACTTCGCATAGATTACCATCCCACCGTGGCCGTTCTATCGCAACAATCCTCTGAAATGGCAGAAACCGGTGAATACCGAGCAGAAACAGCAGCCTGGCGATTCCAGCGATGAGGGCAAGAAGAAGAAGAAATAGTTGAAGATATTTAAATAAAACTAACTTCAAGTAATTATTACTCTTTTTAATAAATAATAACACCTCATTTTGCTTAAATTGGACGACGGTACGATATCAGATCGTTGTGGTCGTAGTACTTGTGTATGAGATCATACATATTTGCAAAGAAGAACAGTAGATTGTCGTACTGTCCATTATAGGGTGATTCGCGTTGCACACAACCCGTAGGCGCCTCCAGCGTGAGAGGCGCTGCCAGCTGATGAAAGCCTTCCGTAATCTCCAGATTGTCCAGGCCTCGGTATGCTGCATTAAGACCCCATGCGTTCACATGCATCTCTAATAGAAACTGATGAATGGCCTCGATGGTGGCTAGATACCAACGGGGACTGCCTCGCTGATGGCGCCAGAATTGTGACAAGCGATTCTGGAGAACCACAGTACGTAGGCCGCGGACGCGCTCGTCTGCGTAGATGCTGCGACTCTGATTCCAGGTGCTGTCAATGAAAACAGCCCGTCTTACTGGCAGGTTCCCGTATGTGTAGCATTTGAAGCTTTGTTCCGATTCTACTTCTCCAACAACTTCATCCATGCGTCGCCGCAACATTGTGCCCATGTGATGGCCCTTGGGCAGGCCATAATTGTCATCAATTTTCAAATGGACATTTCGTTGAAATAGCTGCGGCACAGTGAGACTCGTAGCACTTGGGAAGATGAGCACCACACCATCCTCCTGCCTGTAGTCGGGTATATCTGGATATGTGTGGATTTGCACATTATCCGGCGCGAGCACTGCCGCATGCACCGCCGTGCTTTTGCCATCAATTTCCTTCTTGTGCTTGATTATGTCTATTTGGAGGGGCAGCTCTACTCGTGGCAATAACCTGCCCAGTTCACCCACTGGTATGTGGCAATTGTAGCAGAAAAATTTCCGAGACCGATTGCAGTGCCGGCAACTATGACGGCCCTCAATTGTGTCCAGCACTGAGTGATCCGCTATGCGCATGTTGACAAACGGATACTTGCGCGGGTGACCCTTTGCCGCGACGGGATGTGTCATCGTCGGGGTCAAGCCGGCTTATACAAATAAGTTTAAAAGCGTGAAAAAGTTAATTTCTTACAAGCTCACACAAATGCATTAGCGTTGCCGTATATTTTAGTGGATGCTAATGCTCACATTTGAGTTCATCTTTTTGCTTAGGTCTGGCAGCACCAACAGTGTTGCAAAATGATAAAAAATGCGTTCCCTTCAAATAAATGGGCAATAACGTGTTTTTGAAAATAAAATTTAAGTTGATTCTAAATTATTCTTTTGTTTCCGCTCTGCTCTAAAAAGCCGAAAATCTGTCGGAATTCTAATCTCAATTCTATATCTCATCGTAGCTGAACGTTATTGAATAAAATAAATAATGACAATATTCGATGAAAGCAATTATTTATTATGGAAAAAAAATATCTATAAAAATGGCTGTAAGCTCCAAAAGATATAAAAATATGATCATCATAATTTTTATTATTTATGCATAACTCATTTGTGTTAATCTGAACTTTTTTTTTGTTAATAAAAGTAAACTAAATAAATTTAGCGCAACGTATAAAGCCATCACTGCTTGCAATATACACATAATTATCGGCGCCACAACATATGTAATTCACACAACTGCCCACATCCACTTCGCCCAGTGCACGTGGCTGATTTGCCGCCAAATCTGTCCAGCCTTTCACTTTGTTGTCGTAGCCACCGGAATACAAGTACTCCTCAGTTCCGCATATACTATTCACAATCATTTCATGGCAGTTCTGCGATCAAGATGACAATAGTGACTTACGAAATGGCTAAGTAGAATGCTACCCACTCACCGGCAACCGCCAAATGTGGGAGAACTTGTGTTGAGGTAGATTATTGATCAGCTGCAGACCCATGCCCGTGCGATCGGGAAATGCCAGATAGCTCCTCTTGCCGTCGATCATGGGACCGAGCAGTGTTAAAGGTGATTTACCTGGAATAACAGTCTTGTTGCTGTATTTGCCGGACTTGCCTTCCACAATTATTGAAACGACCACGTCCAGGTCGCGCACTGTGTAGATGAGCTGCTGTTCCCCGGCAAGGGATTTGACCTCCTCCACTAAATTGTACTTGAAGAGCATGCGATCGTTACTCCAAGTGGTAACCACGCCTTTATCATCGCCCGTATAGAGCACAGTGCGATTACAATACATGGCCTGAATGGCGTCGTCACAGCGGAACAACTCCTGCACGGAAGCCTCCCCATACGGTGGCAGCATGTACTTAACCTGGCCATCGCAGCTGCTCGAATACAGCTTCCCATTCTCATTCACGGCCATGCAATAAATGTACGCATCATGGGCGGTCACTGTGCGCAGTAGTTGCAGCGATTCCGACCAAATCTGTAAGGGAAGCCCGAATTCAGGTAAGCGGATAAATGACTAAACTTAACTGTTGCCCCATAATACCCACACGTATTTTACCATCGGCACCTCCAGAGAACAGCTGGTTGTTGAAATACACCACACAAGTGGCGTCCCCCTCGTGCGGCTCCGTCGACGTGTGTTCGATGCGCGCGTTAAGCATCTGGTGAGCGATTCAAGACAAAACTGGCCCATAGCAGAGTTCGCCACGAATAACCGCAACCAAGTACATAGCATATATCTATGTATATACACTCTCGCGGACAGATATTTATAAATGCGAAATGTACAGTGCCCGCCAGAAGTAAATGCACAATTACACACGCTCAAAGTAGATGTATATTTAAAACACGTTAGTTGCACACTTTAACTCTTAATTAGTTAGTTTTCAGCAAGTAAATACATAGAAATAAAATATGTATATATGTTATATATATATCGAGTTTACATTTCATTCGCTTTATCTAAAACATAAACTTGCAATGCGTACAGAAATCGTTACCAAATTGAACTAAAAATGAAATCAATTCCCCTTAATAGGTATCACAAAAGTAGCTTTAACTTAAAAAAGGAAACCAAGTAATTTATTCACGTTTTCTAGCAAATTATAAAAGTTGCTACGTCTGATAACTTTTGCATTTTAAAGTTGCTTCATTGCGGTTTTCATTTCTTTTTTGTTAGTTTTGTTAGATTGTCATTAAGCTGGATTATTCTTTATGACGCGAACAATTCAATTTAGATTGCATACCTTAACACTAATGTTTGTTTCAAGACGAACAATATCTATTAATCTAACTTACGCGCTTAACACAAAATTAGGATCCAGTTTTATTCCATTTTCAAGAGTTTTTAAAATGGAAACAGGATATTGATTGGCTTAAACTGATTTTTACCATTGTAGTACCCTATTTTTGTGGGTCAATTTGCATTTATTAGGCATGATCCGTTTATTTTCACCGTTTTAAATTTAATTAGAGTTTCAAACACTAAGTTGAAAATGTAACAATTTGTTTAATATAATAACGGAATAGTATACTTCATTATATTTAAAGCATTATCAATTGAGTCATATTTTAAATTTGACTTAAGAGAGTTCTGTATTTAAGCTTTGGAATACAGCAATCGGACATTTGAAAAGCTTCGAAAATTCGCCGAAGGATTACTACTTTTAGGTAGTTATATATTTTTCTAGTAGTTATATATTTTCTTAGTTCTTTTTTATTTTCTAGTGGCTTGTTCAATTGCTTCGGTTTTGAGAGTTTTCTTTATACTAGGGACAAAGAGGTTTTACGTATATGCTTAATAGACACACATTTGACATGATATAGCCAGAGAATCCATTAAGTTAAGAGCTCCCAGCTTAGCGTAATGCTTACTTATAAATACATACGTACAATTGCATAAATACTTATACATAATAAACACATAATTGAGTATTGCTTAGCTCGAAGGCTTTAACAGAGTTTTTTTTTGTATGATTAACGTTTTATTTGGTATTAGCTAAGTAGCTAAGAGTATTTAATATCACTTACAGTGGCATCGTTTGGTAGCATTTATGGATCTTTGTATACTCTAGACATAGTAAGCATTATACGGATTGCGCTTCTCCAGGCAGGGTAGCACACACTCCAGCGTATTGCGAAAGGCATCGCGAAAGTCTCGATTGAAATAGGCGTAGATGAGCGGATTAAGTGTTGAGTTGAAATAGCCAATCCAGAAGAGTACCACGACAACCACATCCGGGCAGGGGCAGGAGGCGCCACAGAGCGACGTGATGACATACCTGCAGATAGCCAAACATATATATATATATATATATATATATATATAAATAAATAAGTAAACTGAGCTTTGAGCCTTACGCCTAGAGCACTGCTTACCAAAGGAAAAAGGGCAGCCAGCAGAGCAAAAACACACCCATAATGATGCCCAAAGTGCGAGCGGCCTTGTGCTCGGCCTTCCAACCTTTCGCGGGTCGCACTGAGCCGCCTGTCGGGCAGATAAAGAGTTTGATGATGAGATTTCGATGAGAGTTACAAACTGATAAGCTAAATTTCATCTTTGGTACAGCTTTGGGCCAGCTGCTGCAGTTGGAAATGCTGTTGAATGCGAGGTCATAAGCTGTGAGTCTGCGTGTGTGTGTGTGTGGGTGTGTGTGAATACAAGCAATGCCTCACATGTTATGCGTGTAGCGCCATGTGTGACGGTTCTTGTTTAACTTTCACATTAATATTGCCTTTGTAGTTGTTCCTGTTGTTGTTGTTGTTGTTGTTTTTGTCGTCGTTCTTGTTGTATCATCGATGACAAACACCCTCCTTAGTGAATTGCACCCACTTCTCACTCCCACAACCAACTTTGGGCAGCGCCATTTAACCAGTTTTGAATAATCGAGCTGGTGTGTGTGCGTGTCGGTGTGTGTGGGTGTGGGAAAAGTAATAAAAACGAAACAAACAATTGAAAATATTTACACAGGACACTTGCTATCATAAAGATATACAGTGCCTCCACAGATACACCCACACATACACCGACTCATTTTCGCACACGTACAAAACATAAACATAAACATCATTGAAAAAGTATTTACACAAAAGAAAAACAAATCAGACGACAGACTGACAAACAGACAAACGGTAAGCAACAGGAAGTGGCAAACAAGTTTGTCCTCGACCTCGTCGGCGCCGCCGTCGCCAACGTTCCCAATGGCAGCGGTTGCCCGACAAACTGAGCAAGGAATCATAATGCAAAAAAGAAAACACAGTAAGCACAATAGGTTGGGCGTTGGGAAAGCAAAGATATTGCACGTGCATAGCGGAGGCAATTATGTACAGCATGAAGGAGGACCGAAGAAGACTTCAAAACTGCCGGTGAACAAAAATTAGTTTAGCCTGAAGGTGCCGGCCGTAAGGCCACAGCCAGGGACGCGAGGGATTTAGCAAATAGTGTCAATGTCTATTTTGGAGAATGGGCATGTCCAATTGGGCTTTGTTGGGATTTATACATGTTCATTACGATTCGAGTTTGAATGTTGATACTAAGTGCTGGTAATTATTGTAATCATTGTAATTTATAAGTGATCCAATAAACAGCTATTGCTTGTAAAACTACTAGCTGCATGGGTTTTATTTGGTCGCTCAACTCTCTGAGTTCCATTTTGGCCGTAAGCTACTACAATAATACATTTCAAATACTATAAGCTTTTAAGTTATCTTAAAATGTCACTTTAAATATAAAACAAGAAAGGAAGAATAAATATCCTTGAAACAACATTATTTTCTTCTGACACATAATATAATGTCCGTTTTGAAAAAAGAGTAAGAGTCTCAATGCTGAGTTTGGTAAAATAAAATATATTAGATGGTAGTCGGAAACGGCCGATTTCAACATATTAATTTTCTGCAGCAGAAAGACTTAGAAAATACTTAGACGACAACAGCATAAATACTCAGAGAATAGAATGCATAAGTGCTGACTAAAGGATATACGGGTATGGATTCATCGACTCCGCATTTGATTATATTGTCTGCACCAAGGAAATAAATATAAATACCTCAAACATTATGGAAACTAAATTTAAAAAGTAATTAAAAAAATGTAAAAAAAGCTTGACATATATATACTATTCAAGAAGCTGCATGACAAGTTGGTTGACTCTAGCCCTAAAAACCTAAGAGATTTTCTAAAAAAACAGGTCGATTATCAGAAAAAAAAACTCGTACTGCGTGTGTACTAGGAGGCTCTACGTACAGGATTTCAAGTGTCTTGTTCTTATAGGTTCTAAGATGCTTACTTTCATACATACGAGCAGACGGACAGACGGATCGACTCGGCTATTGATGTTGATTAAGAATATATATACTTAATTGGGTCGGCGATGCTTTCTCCTGACTATAACATACACTTGCATAAATGTTTTGCCTCTTGTTAATAGGTTCAGGGTATAAAAATAACGTTCAGATAGTTTCCTGGCTTGATTATTTCTCTCGAAAGATCTTAAAAGGGTTTCAACTGCATATATATACCGATTTAGCAATATTCTAATCTATATATTCAGATTTGCAAAGACCTTAGTAACTTGTTGCAGCATCTGTAAAAACGTCCTTTCATCTTACATTTATATCTTCCATTGGATACAGTCTCATTTATTCTGTTGCTTACTTGGTTAACTACCGTTTCCAGTTTTGATAATTTCCCAGTTCTCAGTTTTTGATATCATGTCTATTTTAATTTATGCCAAGCCAGCAAGAATTTTCAAGAAAATTTCTAAATGCCTTTCTGGATTATTTTCTAAATACCTTTTACTTGGGATACATTGATTTTTCTGAAACTTCAATACTATGTTAATGAAATTGACCTATTACAAATAATTTTAGGATAGGAATAAATAATGTGTATTTACAGATGTGCTTGAGTTTTTTTTGGCTGATGCAGGTGCGACTCTTGACTGTAGGGAAAAGCTCAGGAATGACACAGAGATTCGGGGGCAAAGGATATGCAAGGATAGATAAGAATCGACAGCAATGCGAGAAAAAGACAAGGGTAAAGAAAGACAGAGCGAGATAGAGAAAAATAGAGAGAGTGAGAGAGAGAGAGAGAGAGAGATATATATTGGAGTGGGAAAGTGGTTCATGGAAAATCGAATGAGCAGTATGTGTTGCGGAGATGACAAAACAACTCACCGGTTGCACCACAGTGACTACATCCGGTTTTATAGCGCTGCTTCCGGTTGTTGCTCTGCTGCCAACATGCTACGAGCGCCGCCAATTGTTTGTGCCAGAAGCGTGAGCGCGTGCGCGAGGGTTGTTCCTGCCCTGAAATCGGAGCCGGTGTTGTAGCCGGAGCCGGAGTCATAGCTGGGGCCTGAGCGTTACTACTACGATTACTACTTGCTCTGACTGAGGTGTTGGTGTCGGTGGTTGTAGTGGTGGTGGTGGTGTTGGTGGTATTGGCGGTTGTGGTGGCGCTGATGTCGGCGCCACAGAGCGGACACTTTTGCGCCGGGTTGGCGGCCGGGGCAAAAGTAACGCCGTGCGGCCTTTGCTCAATAATATCGGCCTCGTCTTCATCCACAAAAATGCAGATGCCACCGCGTCGAATCAGTGAGGATTTATTGGAAAATTCGTGCTCTGTTTGAAGTTTTCGTTTTTATTTTGTTTGAGGACGTTCACAATTGGAGTTGAGTTGGTTTTTGATATTGGATTGAACACAATTTGATGATTTCATTAACATATACACACACATATGCACATACAGAAAGAAAAAGAGAGAGAGATAGAGAGAGAGAGAAGAGATAGACCGGAATACAGATAGATAGATTAGGATGGTAAAAGACATATACATTTGTATGAAATCAAAGGCTCGTCACATTATATTACGGTTGTTAAGGCCACATCACAGTAAGCATGCGCGCCATGCAATAGTTGGAAGGCGAAATATAGTGAAATTTTAAAGACATAATATATACTGAAAAAGAATAGCTGACAAGATCACTGGAAAACTAAGTACTATATAATGTTAATAGGTTGAATGAAGTACACTCAACTCTTTCAATAATTATTATTTTAAAGAAATCATTCCACACATTTTCTTGATTGTCGTAGTTCTAGTAGTTGGTCAACTAGGCGTATGCTTTATGCGTCCGACTTGCAGTGCAAAAATTGCAATAGGTAAAGTGCTAAGAGCAATATCTAAACCTTAAGTTTTGCTGCATAGCAATAATCTTAAAGCGACTTACTAACACATAAACTAAGTATTTATATGTAGAGAGTGGGCAAAGTTTCAGGAAGGTCAGCTTGTGGCTTGGTATATAGCCACTTTCCGAATATTCATGATTTATTCACATGTTGCACTCAGTTGTTACTGATTCCGGTACACAGATTAGGTGAATGGATTCACAACAAAATGTTTTGAATAAATAGTGCAAGTCCTTGAATCCGTCAGATATGATGATTACTTCACCTTAAATCAGCATGAATAATTCACCATTCGGAAAATGGGGTGTTAGTTTTCGGGCTACGTTGCAATTGTTTATAGTTGAATCGATTGAATAAATTAAATATTAATGAGTACAAAATAACTAATATAACAATTGAGAACCCATTAAAATTTCATGGAATTCACATATTTACAATATTTGTATTTAAGTTTGTTTTGTGCATTTATCAACGCTTTAAATTCTGAAGCTTAAATGCAGTAAATATGCCAATTAGAAAGTGATTTATATATAGTTTAGCAACAAAAATAAAATAAAACAATGCATTTAACAGGTAAAAAGAATGTACAAGCAAGTGCTTGGTATTTTTTGGACTATATTGTATCCGGTTATTATTGAATTTCGACACTCAATAATAATCATATATGCATATTTTCTTTTTTATTAAGTTACACTTAGTTTGCACTGCGATTGCATAAAATTTACTTTCAGATATTGATTATATTCAAAGTCACGAGTCATACTTTAATGCTGCCCCAATTAAATAGGCACTCAAGCATAAACGTAACCCTGACCATGACCTTTGCTGATTGCTGACCATTTTGAAATTTCGCCCATGACTGTTTCTCTGCACTTACTTGCCGAACTGGTGGAGACGCGACCCATAGGAATGTAGCTGCGACTGTCGCTTTGCTCCTGGGAGAAGTTGATAACGTTCACATCATAGGTGACCACCGACGCTTGTCGTTTCCGCATGGTCTGAATACCCTCGTAGCCAGTGAGAAAGCGCTGTCGGCCGCCGGAAGCGCTCACATCCGTGTCGGTGGCGCTATCTTTACGCTTCAGCAAGGGTGAGGTGATATCCTTGTGCTCGGCCAGTCCGTGGCCTTCGCTGCCGTCTACTGGCGAGAGTGTGGAGTCAAGTATGATTTCGGGCTTGGGTGATATGTTGGGTGGCTGCTGCTGGTACTGTGTAGCTGTCCCTGGCTGCGGCACAGGCAGTGTGGTGACCACGTCTAGTGATACGGTGGATGTGTCACTTGGCGTATAGCCAGCCGCGTGCGGCGGCGGCGACAAGAAGTACACGTTGATGGACGCCGATTGCGATGAGTTAGCAGCCGCAACGGCTGCGTTCACAGCTGCTGGCGTATTCGGTGGGGACATCATATAGTTGGGGCACACCTGATCGCTCAGCGTGCTCATGCGCTGCGGCGCCGCCTGACGCCTGGACTTGGACTGCTCGCCCATCGGAAAGCTCAGCGAGCGAAAGATCTCGGCCAGCTCCGAGCTGTTCGTAATAAGCATGCCACTTTGCTCGGGCAGCTCCGGCGGTGACAGCGATGGCGGCGGTGTTGCCGGCTGCTTAGGTGACTCGGCAAAGCAATCGGCTAGCTGGGCCAGTTCATCATCAGTGACGCTAACGCCGACAACCGCATCGCTGCCAAAGTCGATTAGCTGTAGCCCATTGCCATCCGCCGCACTTGCCGCGTTCTGCTCGCTGAGCACGTTTATGTCCAGCAGTATGTCCGGCTTGTTGGGCGTCGAGTCGGTGTCGCTGTGCTGTCGCGCCCGCTGCTCAAGTTTGCGTTCCTTGGCGCCGCCGCTGCCACTGCTACTGGCGCCTCCATTATAGCTATGTGATAGCTTGCGATTACGCGAGCGTCTAAAGAAACTGGAGCCCTCGGAGTTGGCCTGCTGTCGTTTCCGTTCGAGGGCAAAGCACTCGGCGCTAGAGCGCTTCGTTTTGGCCAGCAGTGACATGAAATTGAAACCCTTCTCCTTGCCGGGCAGTTGATCGGGCACCTTCGATTCGCTGATGGTGCGCATAAATTCCGAGTCACTCGCTGCAAATGCTTTGTGCCCGCTGGCCGCAGCTCCTGCCTTCAGTCGAATAAAATCTGACTCGCTCAGTGCGGCATATTTGCCGCCCGCAGCGCTTGTTTGCTTCTTGAAGTACAAATAATTATCCTCGATGAGTCGCTTCAACTCTTTGTTGTCCTCGGCCAGTGGCAAGTGTGTGTCATAATGGTCATTCGTCTCGCTATCATCGCTGTGCAGGCCAAACACGCGATAGGCCGTTGACTCCGGCTCTGGCTCGCTGTTGCCGCTGCCACTTGTCAGGCTCTGTTGCTGCTGAAATGTTGCTGTTGCTGACTGAGGTGTCTTCTTTGCTAGGGTTTCGACCCAAATCTGCGGATTGAATACAGGCACCGGCGCCTGCAGCTGGTTGAGAGCTGGCTGCTGCTGCTGCAGCGCCATCATCGATGGAGCGCTGTCCGTGTGCGTAACCTTCTCATAACGCTCCTGCTCAAGGTCACGCAGGTCGATGCTGCTGCGGCTAAGGCGACGCGGTGGCGGCGATGGCACGCGCAGTTCATCGCACTCGTCCTTATCGTCGTCCTCATCGGTGGCCGTCTGTAGCATATCCTGTGAAGCCGATTAAAGTACATTCAAGAAATATCATAAAAGTTCTCCTGTGGAGGTTAGTTTAGATTTATATTTTATCATATGATATAATAGGCTCCATAATAGTTAAGAAAAATGAATCTGAGGCTCAGAATTTAACACTATGATTAGAAAGTGAAAGTACTCCTGAATACTAGCTCAGTAGTAAATATTTCTGCGCAGGCTGGTTAAGGCCTCCTATTACATTTAAAACAGTGTAATCCACAATGACCTCAACATTCCAGTCGTCACCGAAGAAGTGAAACGAATAAGCCTGAAGCACGAAGACCGACTGGACAACCACTGCAACACCCTCGCAATAAACCTCCTCGTCAACAACCTGCACCCCCGACGCCTTAAAAGACACCACCCACTCGACCTAACTTTTAGACCGCCAAAAGACTGGTGAGACCGTTTAAAATACCATTGCCAACACACACAAAAATCACATGCAAATATCTACACCACAAAATATACTTACTATCGAAGATATGATTGTAAATAGAAATAAAAACTTAATAAAGGTAGTAAATATAATTTGATATACCAGTCGTAAATAATTTCTAAATAAATATTTTTCACATAACAGACGCAGAAATAAAAAGGCCACATTATTTTGTTAATTTGTTCACGCCGAAGATTATATACCCTTTTAGACATATGGCCAATTGGCCAATGTGAGATAAATGGAAAGCTTTTTGAGCTTTTGATAACAATATCATAAAAACAGAAAAATATTTCATAAAACGTTAATTTTTTGACCTATTCTTCCTATAGAACTGTATGATATAGTAGTCCGAAGTTAATGCAATTTGGCCCATATTAAAAACAACAAAGTTTTTCATACAACAACTTAATTTTTGGGTCAATATATTGTTTGCCGATCTGACTGATTCCGAAAATGTTCTACCGGGAATATTTCATGCTTAAAGGTTACATCTGAGAGACTAGTTTATCGATCCGGCTGTTGTTATAATCAAGAATATGCAAATACTTTATGAAGTCTTCTATGCGTTATACGTTTTATGACAAAATTAAAATACCCTCTACAAGTGTAAGCAATTAAAGGTCACCAAAATGAAAATATCATTAAGCATGTAAATTTGTAGAGCGATATTGTGTGATATACATATGTCATAAGGCCAAATTTCTGATATTTTCCTGTTTATTCCAGCTTAATTAAATTCTTTACTGTTCACAAACTTTTTAAACAATATGAATTATAATTATCAAAAGCAATTAAATATAACAAAATATTTCGTAAAGACTCGGTTTTTATAACTATTTCATTTATATTGTGTAAAAATACGTATATAATAATATATATTAAAAAAGGTTTAAAATAATAAAATATTTCGCAGAAATCCGAGTCGGTTTCAACATCAATTATATTTTGAATTTCGATACCCGTAGCTCAATAATATATATTAAAATATATAATACATTTCGCAGGAACCCGAATCGGTTTCAATATCAATTTAATTTTGCATTTATATTTGCGTACGTAGTTCGATGTAATTTTATATTTATTGCGAATACAAAAGTTACACATAATTCAGTCATTGCTGAAATCACATAAAAGCTTTTGAATCTACAAACCCTACATATCATATGATAACCAAATTCTCAGATCTCTGATTTGAAATTGTACTGTGGGATGCATTTGTTATTTATACATACCTCCAAATTGCTGAGAGCACTATTCGTTTCCTCTCGTGCGGATTTTGCATTGAGATCACAGTCGCTGGGATGTAAGTAGCTGAGATTGGTGGGCTGCTGGGTGTGGCCCATGTGAACGCTGTTCAGCAGTATGTTGGAACTGGTGCGGCTCAATGCCTTGCGCTGACGCACAGCCTCCCTGGAAGGAAGAAACCGCAAGATGCAAATAAATAAGCAATTTCAGGTGCATGCATTCAGGTACTGAATGTCACTCACTTAAAGATGCGCCAGTACATAACCAGCATGACAACGCCTGGTATCCAGAAGCTTACTGAACTGGAGATGAGTGCGTAGGCCTTGTTAACCACAAATGAACATTGATCCGGATGCAGGGAAATCTCGCGCAAATGTTCGGCCGTTGTGTACCAGCCCAGGAAAATAGGTGTAAACGAAATAAGGGCGGGTAATATCCACACGTTGGCGAGCATAAAGCATACAGTGCGATGAGTCATATTCAATGGATACTCCAGTGGACGCACTATTGCATAGTATCTGTTGTGGCAGCCCAAAAAAAAAACGATTAATAAACGAATATGAATTAATAAATCGGTTGTATGGCTCTGATATGGTTACGTATAAAACAATCTGACTGACTTAAGCCTCTCAAAGGGGTGGAGAGTTAGACCTATTGCAAAGGCAGGTAATTTGAATCATGTGCGCCGGGCCCTCGTTAAGTATTACTAGTTAGCTAAGTAAGCTAAATCGGATGACCTTGTATAAACCATGGTCGGAAATCCAAACCAGATTAATTTAGTTAAGCACAAATATGTATTTTGACCCAGGTTAGGTTATTTCTATACTCTTAATATGAAAAGTTGAGGTATTTCGATTATTGAAATTAACATGGCTAAGAGTTTCTGCTTATATCTGGCTTCCGTAGCTGAAAGCTACTAAGCTACAGAGGAATTTATGAATTTTCTGTTACAGGTCTGATACTGTTACAGGTTAACAGAAAGAAGTAAGATTTATGCGTTATCATAATGAAAAGACAAAGTCATCAGTAATCCCTATTGCTGAAAAGTTAATTCAATAAAATGGCTTGTATAAATTTTATTATTAACATTTAATTAAAAAATTAACGGCTATTACCCGCCTTGCCCGTGCCAAGTTTTGTGCAAAAAAATTAGATATTTTCACCCCCAATTTATCATCCACGAAAAGCGCATTTAAAATCGATTTTAAAGATGAATGGGTAAACAATAAACTTTAATGGAATCGCTTACCGCCAATCACCAGTCTCAAATGGAATTTCTACAATCGCTGAAACCCGCATTCATTATGTTCTTTTGTAGGGCTTTGAATGTAAGTTTGAGACCGATCGGACAAAACATAAAGCTGACCCCAAAAAATCTTTGACCCGCACTTTCGACTTGGAAATGAATTTGAGCATGAACCTTCCCATCAAATCCTTGACCCCCATTTCCACCAAGAAGGGATGGATTTTCAAAAAAGTGCGAAATACCAATCAGGTGAATAAAGGTCCTTGAAAATTTTTTTGACGCCGATCGGATGGTAAGTAAAACACTTTCATACAAACGTATTTCACTAATTAGCCACTGTTGTGGGTGGAATTTCCAAATCGCTGAAGCTCGTATTCATTATGATATTATGTACAGCTTTGAAAATAAGTTCGAAGCAAATTTTACAAAACTGAAAACTTCGCCTAAAAAATCTTTGAATTGCATTTCTACCGACGAAGATGTAGGCCATTCAGTAATTTGAATTTTTCAAAGAGCGTCTGCTGTATTATTAAAATTGCAGGCTAAAACTTCAAGTAGCACCTTTCAAACTTAAGCTGATCAAGTGAGAAATCACATTGGTTACTTATAACGATGCCCATTCATAATTTATGTAGTGTTTGTTTATTGAAGTTTCATGGGAATTTCAATGAGAAACATTAATTAATTTGGTTCAATTCCTTTCACGTTCTCTTTGTTTTCTTGTTGTTCTTCTGTTTTGTATTTCGTGTGTTTGCGTGTTTTGCCGGAGCCTTTGAAAGGTGTGTGAAATATAAATTAATTAAAACAGACAAACAAAGGCTCCAGTGGCCACTGGGCATTCGCCATTGTTGTTTTTTGCCCAGTTTTGCGTCCCAGCTGTTGGGGCTTCCGCTTAGGCCACAGCTCCAATTAACAGTTGCATGTTGTAGGGCGGGGCAAGGAGGCGTACGTGGGTACCCACAAGCCAAGCGGCCCATTGGCCGTGTGCAAACCATTTGGGCCGCATTCATCATACGCCCTGGCTTAATGTTTGCTTTTGATGTGCTCGCCTTTCACAGTAATTAATCGTTTCTCATTCGCAACGCGCAGTGCTTTGTATTGAGAGCGAGATTGCGGCTACAGGAGGCAAGATTAATGGAGGTTCTATTCAAAGTGCCTCCAGCTACATGCATCGGCGTTTTAGATACGTGTTTTACGCTGCCGCTGGGCAGCAGGGCTAGGAGTGGTATGGGGTATGTACTCACCTATCCACTGATATGCAGCACAGATGCAGTATGCTCGCCGTGGAAAAATATACATCCAGACTGTTGTACACATTGCACATAAATGGCCCAAACATCCACTTGCCGCCAGACAGCTCCACGGATGCGTTGAATGTCATTGCGCAGAGGGCGACCAACATGTCGGCCATCGCCAATGACACAACAAAGTAATTTGTTATAACGCTGCGAATGAGACAAAAAGAATCGCTACATTAAATGAGCATCGTGGTACCAACCACCAACCATCAACTGCCAACGGATAAGCCACAAGCCGCCAACAGCGGCCCACACAGAGGAACCCATGTCAAGCGGATGACATTGCATTTGCTTGCAATGTAACAGGCACCTCGCACTGGCATTTGGCCTCATTGCTTTGCATTCCATTCCATTTTCCTGCTGCACAGCCAGCACCTAGGTCACCTTTATGCTGAAATTTTACTATTTCCTTGAGTGTCATAAGCCGTTCGGCTGACTAGGCAGCGGTCGCCTCAGCTGTTGCTTTTAATTTAAAAACAATTTGAGAGTTAAGCAAAAAAATTAAATTTTTCTCACGTCCAAATGCCATTTTGTTAATATTGTGAGTTAATTTAGAGCTCCGAATATCATTTGTCTTTGTTGTAATATGTCACATTCACATTCTCTTTAAACGCAAAGAACAGCAATTGGACATAATTAGAAGAAAAGCGCTTAGATTGAGAACCTTTTGACATAAAAAATCGATTTATAAATCCCTACTAAACTTTAAAGAAGAATTAAAAGATTATAATCAGTAAATATCCAAATAACAAATAATACAGGGTATCTATTGTTCCCAAATTACTTTCCATTCTTCTTGTACAACGGCAGGATATTTGTTATTTTACTTCTTTCAATGTATCAAGAAGTAAGTTTGCATTAACTTTCATTCGCTCATTTAAATTAATACAGTTTGGAGACTGTTTGCTAGTTAAGCAAAGTTCATGACTTTTTGGCCTGCGCACACACATCCATTAATACATTTTTCTCGCCCTTGATAGTATGCTAAAATTTTGTGCTTTTATCTTGCTCTCTTCCTCTCTCTCTTTCGCTCTCTCTCGCTCTCTCTCTCTCTCTCTCTCTCTCTCTCTCTCTCTCTATCTCTCTCTCTCTTTTTGGGGTACCTTCTTCTTGCCATCATCATGTGTCATATTTAAGTTCACTATGGTTTTTTATTCCTCGTTTCGCTTCTTTAAATTGCATTTACGGGTATGTCTATAATTTATAAAAGGCTCCTCTGTTGCAGCTTGCCTTTTTAACCCTGAACCCATTGAAAACGGGTAATAAGAGTTAAAAGGGCTTGTGTAAATTGATGTAACTGGTAGAAGGATGTTTCTTCCACTTCAAAAAGTATTTGTGGACCTGATAAGCATCAACAGCTGAGTCCATTTATGTATTTCCGTATTCTTGATCGCCTCGATAAGATCAAGATACTTTGATTTTAGAATTAGTATGTTATGTAGTATGTATGGGAGTAGTATGTTTTAGGATCGCTCGATATGAAGAACCGGGGCATCATTGCAGTGGGCATGACATGACATTGTGGCATTGTGCGGCTTTTTGTATTTTTTTCTCTCTAGTTCGCGATTTTTCACTTTTCAATATTACCTTTCTATGCGGTTCTCATAGAAGTCAATTGCTTAAAATTCTATTCAACTGATGAGTTAAGCAATCATGCAAAATGAACTTCACTTACCGCAGTTTACGGTTGCGTTGCACTGAAATGATGACCAATGCATTGCCCAGCACTGCGGCCAGGATAATTGACGAAAAGATGAAACCCTTGAGCAGCAGCAGCGACATGTCCAGCCAACTGTCTTCGAATTGTTCGCTGGTTTCAACCACGCTGCTGATATTGGCATTCGCGTTACCCGTTATGTTGCTGGCGATGGTCGAGAGCAGCTCCAGGGCAGTTGTTGGAGACGATGGCAGCGAGGGAGAGGCGGCGATGGCGGACGATGATGTTGATGATGCCGTTAATGACAGCGAAGTCAACGAGGCTTCCACAAATTGCGATGGTGTTCGCGAAGTAGTTGTTGATGTTGTCATTGCAGTTGTGGATGCTGCTGTTGTTGCTCTCAGCGCTTTTGTTGCTGAAGTAAGCAGCAAGCTGCTGCCGCTGCCACTGCTGCTGCCGCCATTAGTAATTGCTGTTGTTGTTGTTGTTGCCGTTGCGTTTAAGGCTGCACCACCAGCTACAAGTATTGCCATCGATTTGGTAGGCCTTCTCGTTGTTGATGCCGTTGCTGTTGTCGTTGCTGTTGAAGTGGACAACGCCGCTGTTCTGATGGCAGCGCCTGGACTATGATGGACTTTAAGCGTTGACATTATTTCGATTTACTGTTGCGCTGATTAAAACGTCGCTTGAAGTTGTTTTGCTTGCTCGGACGATAATCACTTTTCTTTCGCTCACATAATTGCAATTTGCAATGCAAACAAGCGACGGGTCAGAGTTCATCTTTATCCACAGCCTCATCAACTGGCAATGCTCATCGGCAGCGTCAACAGCAACGTCGTCGTCGAGTGTTTGCCTAGCGCTCTGCCAGGACGCGATGCCATCGCCTGCTGGCTGCTTGTTGCACGTTCCTCGCTTCTCGCTGTCGTCTGTTTGAGTTGCTTGATGTTTAAAAAAGTTTGCTGCGCTTTGCTTCAAGCGCTCAAACGCTCAACATTCGACGACCAACCGTCTGTAAATGAATAAATAAATAATTTATGAAATAGGCGTACCAGTCAAGCCACAGAAAATGGCTAGAAATAAAGTCAAAATAAATGTAAAATTGGACCACATTTAAAAGGCATAACGTTTCCTGGTTGGTTGGTTACCCATGCAGTGCTCTGCATATCGGTGCGACAGCAATTTGTTCGAGCTCTGAAGCTGCCTGTTGCCGTTTCGTTACTAGCACTGCCACTTGGTCTGCCCTGCTTTCACTTGCCTCCTGCCCATCAAAATTACAGAAATATATTGCGCATACGCTATGTGAGCACTTGACATCCATTTTATTTAAGAACAGAGGAACACATCTGCATATCCTTGACGACAGTCATCAGTGCTGCTGAGATGCTACGCTAAGGGACTGCCTTCTAACTTACATTTTTTGCAATGAACTCCCATGGGTAATATATATTTAAGTTTGCAGCCTTGCTAAATCTTATCTTTTAAAGGATGCACTTCTGTTAAATGCATGTTAATGCATGCTTCTTATTTTTTGATGGTGGTAACAAAGAGGGCAAGTATTTGAACTAGCTGTGAGTTCCATAATATCTTAATATCGTGTACTTAATGCGTGCATTTGTGTATATATGCATTTCTTAATGTAGCCATATCTGTATCTGTCTGTCCGTCCGGGCGCGTCCGTCTACCATATAAACTTGTTCACCAGTTTTAAAGCAATCGTCAGAAAACCTTGCATTGGATTCGGGCGCGTCGGATTTAATAAGGTATCGATCGTCTGAACAACCTCTTTGAATTTTGAACATATCTTAATCACACTTTGCTGCTACGAACTGTACTGTGCTCCCTACATACGAGGTAAATCCTATTGTGATCTGTTAGCCTTACATATAGCATTAAAGATAGAACAGTTTTTGATTGTTTTAATTTTTTTGTCACACTTTCGATCACGTATATATTCTTGCTTAGCATCAGGAGTCAAATATTCAAGTTTCTAAAGTATTGTTAGAAACAGATATCAAGACTTTTAATTAAAAAATGCCTATGTCTGTCTTGTAACATTATTAGATTAACTATAATTCTGTAAATTTGGTAACCATCAGGTCTAAAATTAGTTTTAAATTTATTTACCAACCAAAACTGTGTAAGAGCATTAAAATATATTAGCCAGCAGCATTCCTTACTAAACGTAAAATTTCATTTTTTGTTGTATAGTTGTTTTAAAACTCGCTTAGTTGAATAACTTAACTACCGGAAAGGACATTTATATTATATATATTATATATTTATGTGGCTTTTAAGAAAGTGCCATTGGCAACTTTATTTTGCGTTCTCTCTTTTTAGTTTCTATAGTCGGTGTATTGAAATATTAAAGTTCAAATGCCCTTGGCAGCCACATAAATTGATAGCTATAAGTTTGTGTCAGTTTGTTAAAAGGAAAATAAGTTTTTGCTGCCCTTTAGTGTTTTGATTTCAATATTTTTTAAGGATTTATTAGAGTGGTGGTATCCACACACAACCGCAAATGTGGAAACCGATAAAGATTGAGCCCTTGCATGCTCACAGTGCTATTATCCTTGTTAGCTGCGTTGTCCTTCGTCGGCCAGTTGACGTTGACTTGTTTGCTTAGCTTTGCCTCCGAATCAGACTCTCAGCCACGCACTTTCAGGATTGGCAACTAAATATTTTAATGTTCGGATTTCGCGAGGATAACACAGCACATCATTCAACGAAGGGCCAGCCGCACTCCAGCTAAAGGACAAGACATTTATAATGCGGTTTTAAAGCAGTTTAAGTGGGGCTGCAACTTATAAATTTTATGCACCATTGCTTAGTGGCCGTTTGACAGACAGCTCCTTTTAATATCCTGGATAAGTTACCATTTTGCCTACTCTTTTAGCCCATTGTGGCATAATTAATGCCTTCAAGTGCCTCGTGTTGTAAGTGCGTTGTGCTGCCGGAAATTCAATAATGGCGCTGCTCTTCCGGCAGCAAAGTTACGCTTAAATGCTAAAGTCAACAGGCTTTAGGTTGTTGGGTACTTTAGGTCGCGTGGGTCAACCAAGAGTGCGCATGGGTCAGCTAAGGCCGGTGCGGGGACTATGGCCCCCGGTCCAGGCCCCGGATGCAAAGTGCAAACTTCAAAGTGCCGCGCACACGACACTACTTATTCAATTAAATCCGTACCCAGCAGCCAATGAGCCAACCGAGTCACCAAGGAAGCTTGTATTTTATGTGGGCATCAAGGACAACCAACCCGCGCCCGATCCCCGCATGTAAGAGGCTTAACTGCTGCTGGTAAGCAAAACACAATTGATAAAGTCCTCAAGAGCAACTCATCGTACACATACTAACTGTAAACATTGTCTATGTAGTGAAGGGAAAAGAGAGCGACATCAACCATTTCTGACAATTCAATATGAACTAAATTGGTACCAAATGCAATAGCACTGTGTATGTGTGTGTGTTTAATTCATGGCAACTATAATGGCAAATTTCAAATGTCCCTGCAAAAGAGATTTTCAATTGTTATTGCAGTCAGGGTTCACAAAACGGTGATGTTAGAAGTGCATCAAGGATAGGGAAAATGGGTCAAACTTTGTGAACAGAGCATCAGCTCAAGTTAATTATTTACTGCCAGTAATTTTCCAGCTTTCCATAGCCTTCATACAGCATCTTAGACGTTTCATTAAATTGTTATTAAATTTACAGCGTTGCATCAATAAATAAAAGTGTCCATTGTATGCCATAGAAGAGCTGTTGTATTGATTTACTAAATAAATATAGGTCACAATGGACGGTGAACCGGGTTGGGTCATGTTTGTCTAAATGCAGAGAAAAAAAACAAAGAAAGCATTTTACTTGTCGAAGTGAAACAGATGAGATACCATTGCCGATATTTGCAGTTGAAAGCGTAGTAAAATAAAAACAAGGAATATTTCGACTATGAGATATCTATCCCCTCCGCGCCAGGAGATATCCTGAACAAATCGCAAGCCTCTACCATCAGGAATAGGTTTTTTCTAATTTTAGGGTGGGTGGGATGGAGACGAAGTATCTAATAAGTGAAATATTTGTAATCTGTAAGTACCATACCATATCTTGCTCTTATCACGTTCGAGTTATGCTAAATAAACGGTTTATTATAAGCCTTGATTATTATCGACATTATGGAAAAATGGAAAATATGGAAATCGGCAGTAAAATCGAAATCATGAACTTATTTTGCGTATAGTAAAGGAGAATATACATGGGATGGATTTAATAAGCACTTGAGTTCTTTTAATTTTGCATATTTTAATTAAAGTGAATGAACAGAAGCTTATAATTACTGTGCAATTATCCAAGAAACAATAGCGAATGAACACACTTTACATTGAATCTCAGGCTCAAACTCGATTCTTCTATCTTATGTTCTGTTGCAGGGTTTCATGTGATAAATGATTATAGTATTACCAATTAAGTACAATGGCAAAATTTATTTATTTTGACTGATAACGAGCTAAAATAAGACAGACCAACAGACGTACATGACTAGATCGATTTCGTTCATCATCCTGATTAAGAATATATACTCTTAATGGTTCAGAGATGCCTCTTTCGGCCTGTTGTATACAGTTGCACAAAAACATTATACCCATTTTGCCCATTTCAATGGGTTCATATATAAACCGAACAAGGCCGAACTGTGTCCCGTCTTTACTGATAGATTGCCAATGTTTAATTGAGAGGATTCTCAGCGTATATGTTGCCAACTGCTATGGTACACAAGAAGCCAGATTTCAGCTAATGCCCACTCAATGCTGTATCTACGTGCTAAGATTTCTGTGTTGAGCAATTGATTTGCCAATTGATACAAAAAATGTGCATGCCATTGAGACGGGCAGTTGACAGCTGACACTCAGATCACAACAACGTTTGTTCTGGTTGGGACTTAAACTGCCAGTCGGCCAGGTGCGCAGCTGTTTACCCAACAAATTAAAGTTAATGCGGCTCAGAAATAAGCCCCCTGGCATCGAACACTCCAGTCCTTTCCAGCCAACTGGCAACGGCAAACAAGCTCCAATCCCCCGCTTAGACACGTTGTGACGACAACTGTCACCATTAAATAGGATTGATCGATTGGCATTGGCATTGTCATTGCTGTTGCCGGTGTGCTTGTTCTTGTTATTGGGGGGCTGTTGGTTTTTTACGCACTTTGATTTGCATAGAACAGCAAATAAGGATGCCGTCGATTTGGCCACCTGCCGGGCAGTGCACAGTGCTTCGAAAAGTGTTAACAAGTTTAATGAGGTATAAATATATATTAGTTCGATTTATTTTTTTCCATCATTTAAACCTGTATTTTATTTTATTTAAAATACCAAAAAAAAATTGTATATTTAATTATAGGTGAAAATGGGTTGTATATTTTGCAGCTCTAACTTTCTGGCTCTGGTATAACAGCAGGGTCAACCCTTTACTTAGTCTTTATGGGTACATTTGGATGAAATATATCTGATAGTTTAACATTACGGTAGATTTTTATGATAACATTTTCATGCAAAAGATTTTTCTCGTTGTTGTGGTTTTCAGCCCCTTTCGACAATCTGTGTGTTTGTGATTTTAATTTGATTTTTGCACATATTTTTTAAAGTGCCAAATTTGTTCTGATAAATAAAATGCTCTTTAACACATCGAAGTAACACTTGTTCGGAACACAAAAAATTATCAGCAAAGTGTGCCAACTGGCTTAAGGGTCACGCCGCTAGCTGCAAAGGATGTACAATTTATCAGAAACTCATATTGAATTGAAAATAGCATACATTTTTATTACTACACAGTTAGGAGATACACTAAGGAGATATTTCGGCAAGCCTGGACAAACGTCAAAGGCGACTTCTTTGAATACGGCTGCATCGTCAAGTAGGTATTCGAGGGTCTGAGGCATTTCCTATGTCGGAGGTTCTTGAGGTCCTTGAAGGTTCTTCTCTTGACCCTTACATACCTCACACCGAGGTTAACAACACTACATGCGAGAATAAAATCGTCTACGGAATATCACAAAATTTTGCTCCGCCCAATAAATCATCCTCAACAACATTCAAAGCCAACATTAATTCAGAAAATAATAATACAAACTGATTTGGTATAATAGAACATATGCTACAAAAAATTTTAACTTACTAAATAATGGAATATGGAATGCCAAAGGGCTTTCCAACCATTTAAATGATATATCTATATTTTTTAAAAACGAATGAGATTCACATAATGGTTTATTCTAGATAAATAATTCAGTAAAATATAAAAGAAGGTTTCTTTGAAGGCTTAATATTCCTGATAATTTTAATTATGGCTAACGAAATTTACTTATTGTCTTAAGAAGTTTGCAAGTAAAACTATAGCGAAAGCTTTCAATATGTTCATTTGGTCAACTTGGCAATTTAATTAAATTGCAAATTTCAATTCATCAAATGAAGCTTAACAAAATGTTCTAAATGTTTTCAACTATATATATATCTAGCATATTCTTTCCCACTGCTACCTGATCGGGTGTATACTTTGGACTTTATTCATTCAGAGAAACGCCTTTCAGCTCAAATTTGTTGTGTTGGAATTAAGGACACAATGTCACCTTTAGCATCATAATAAGAAGATACCGGGCCTGAGTCTGCCTAATAGCTGGCAGCATTCCAGCCTGACATGCACTGATGTTATCATTCAACTATTTGCCGCATCCTATACGTGTAAGAGAGTCGACTTTTGTCTGCTGAATTATTTAGGTTTCGGCCACTGTGTGACTACTACTGTGCAATTGTGCGAGACAAATTGTTAGCACTTCCGTTTTGACTTTGGGATTCCGCTTGTTTACGGCCAACCAGCGGGCAGTGGCTTACGCCTTTGAGCCGGCATTAGGGGTACATAACAAATCATTTAGTGGCTGTCACTCAATGGCATTATTATGCTTACAAAAGGCTTGAAGCGTTTGGCTATAAAAATTCCTGTGCTTCATGGTAGTAGCATCAGTTGTCCTGCGGCCGTAACGCGTTGCGTATTAGACCCAAGCTCAACTCAAGGAACTAGTGTCCAGTGCCGTGTCGTGTGTTCTTTGCGGCGCCCCTAAAAAACGCAAAGCTTTACGCCTGAGTTGGCCCAGCTCGCGTTGTCAGCAGCCAGTAGCCTGTCAGTTATGTATAGACTAAGTAATTGCACATTGCTGCTAATCGCAGCATCCTGTTACCTGGTATATTCCAGCCAAGCCAAAGCTTTGCAGGTGAGTAAGCAGCCAGTTTGTTAAAAGGATAGACAACGGAGCTTTCCAAGTACCACTTAATTAGTTTTATTTGCTACAGTAAGGATCCAAGCACCCGAACAAAGCTGCCAAACTATAAGTCATACAATTGCCATAGCAAGGCACACTGTGCGCAAAAACTTTTGCGAAATCTCTTGCAGCGGTCGATTTTGTTTGCGGCTGCTTTTAGTTTTTGGATATTGGCGCCTGCATCTCGAAGCAATTTCCGACCTGTCATTGCCACTTTTCGGCTTGCTAATTATTTGCCAATGCAATCTCAATTCGGCTTAGCCAAGTTATTTCCATTAACTGACAGTACACTTATCTTTTAATTTCCTTTTAACATTATTTTAACTAGTTGTAAAGTGCTGCGGTACCAACTTATAAAATTTATTTGTTTAACAACCACTAACCAAAATTGAAAGTACATATTTTTTATTCCATGAAACCATTGAAAATGGATAAAAACGGCTTAATGATTTACTTCGAATTTGTGCAACAGACAGCAAAAAGCACATTCGAACCCATAAGACGATTTTTTCATGTCCGTTTGCACGAGTGAGTCAATCTCGGGACTAGAAATATTTTTCTACGATATGTCCTCACCCTTCCATAAATGATTTTATTTAACATAACTCTAGAAGTTTCCCCAATAATTGAATTCGCGTGTTTTTATCGCACACTGTGCCATATCAAAGCCCAAAAAAATTGCTTAAGGGTCGGACTGTACACATCGAAGCTATTAAAAAACACATTTCGCATAATGTGGGAAGGAGAAGCCTCTTCCTAAGGTGTGCGAGTATTGTGTAATTGTGAATTCATGTATTGAAGAAAGCTGGAGTGATTGTAACGAATTCTCGGCGCTCTGTACTTCCTATTTGAGCACTCCCGGCTTCTTGTTTGTGTTTATATTTATGTTTTTGCAAAAAATGCATCACTTTTCTTCTACAAATACTTAGTTCATGTGTGTCAGTTATTTCACTATTCGCAGCACTACGTGACAACTGTTGTTGTTACTCATTCGTGAGTTGTCAAGATTATATTGGTGTTGTGAAATCTTTTTTTTCTATGTAAGCAAGAGAATTGAGACCTGTGTATACCCGCATTAGATAGTAATAATATATCGTGCATTAAAGATATCTCAAATTGGGAATGTCCCGTTTTTGTATATACAATGGTGAATAAAACGAATAATCCGTCGGTGAGGGTATTCTACGTGTATTAGAAACTTTCTTTATGAAAGTCTGTTTAGCTGAATTTAAATATTTCCAGTAGCTCATGCGTGATGCGTGTATGTTGTTTTATTTGACTTTGCCTTTTTATGCTTGCCAAAATATTAAGTTGTTGACTTAATTTAATTTTACTTTAGTTTATTTAACTCGTCCCTCAGCATGCGTATACAGCTGTATTATGGCGTTTGAGTTTGTAGCCAAGATACAATTTGTAAGCCGATTTAAGGTGTTGGCATTTCAATTCACATTGAGTTGTCTAATCAAGCGGCACACGCTGCCTGTCATGCTGTAAATTGAAACAATAAAGTGCTTGACTCACACATAACACCCACTCACACGCATACACACACATACATGCACACATACTGAGAGTACGTTGTGTGCGTGCAGCTCACGTATGCGCATAAATAGGCAGCATAAAAATAACGTAACACGTGTCGACAGTTTGAAAGGCGCCAGGAACGATATTGAAAGCCTTGCTGCCGCAGGCGAAAAGGGCTCGAATCAAATATTTCAAATATTTTTGTTGTTTTCTTTGGTGTTATGTTTCTCATGCCGCTTTGTGGCACTTCATTTGCGCAGGGCACAAACAAACTGGATTTACCAAATCGCATCAGCGGCATCAGCGTCGACTCTGCCAATGCCGCATCTGCGGCGGAAGCACGCCACAAGCGCGCAATGGGTGAATACAAAGAGCTAAACGACATCATTGACGAGCTGGAGGAGAACAATTTGGGGCAAAAGCCGAGCGGGGCAGCGCCGCCAGCCCAGACGCAGGAATTTGACCTGGATAACATGCCGCCGTTGGCCTACTACCTGCTGTTGCAAAAGCTTCGTCAGCGTGAGTACTGAGCGCACCCTGCGTATGAGTAATGTGTCCTTATGACAACGTGCTATGAAAGCATTTTAAATATGCTCTGCTAGGGATTACTCGAAAATTGATTCTTTCACGAGAACTTTTCTTTGGTTTACAACTTTATTAAGTGCATGTGCAACATTCGACTTTTCTACGAATCCCTAGGTATTCTGATTTGGAACTCTTGAAATATTTTGTAATTCTTTTTTAATCGATTTTTATTTCCATTCTTTATATAAAATGTTTCCTTATAAGTATTTGAACTTTAAAGCCGTGTTATTAGAACTAAACTAATTGTTGTTTTAGTTGATTTCGCAGAAGAATGTCCACTATTATTTTTTGTAATATGTATTCTTCATCTTGTTGATTGTTGCTCTAGCAGTGCAAAGCAGTAGCGAGCCAACGTATCGCGTGCGGACGCCACGCCTTGGACGCAGCATTGACTTTCAGCAACTATTGGAGAGCCGGGCGGGCAGCGAGGAGGCAACTGGCGGGCATTTTGTGTCGCGCATGATGAAGAAATCGGTGCCGTTCAAGCCACGCCTGGGCAAACGTGCTCAAGTGTGCGGCGGCGGGGATTAAGCCATGGCAGTAGCAGTAACAGTATCATCAACGCAACTAGGACAAACGGCAAGGACGAAAGCTTGAGCAAGGTTGAGGCCAGCCGTTGGCGCATTGCCAGCTCCCCTTAAACTACTCATGTAACGCCCCAAAAATCGACGAAAACAAATAATCTACTTATCTTATAATATTATATTTGTATAGCTAGGCCCAAGTTTTGAGAAGAATTCATATATACGACAAACTATACGTTTAAATAAATTGCAGACCCTTGAAAACTTTAATTCTTGCTCATGTTGTGGGCGCTTCTGCAATAATATCGAATATTGCAAATATTTGAATAAATGGTTAAAGGCAAATACACATTCAGATGCCACTAATGAGCCGCCAACAGAGGCAGTCGTAGACTTTTCATATCTGTGTTTTATTTTTGGCCGGGCAAAAGTTAAATTAATGAAAATTTCATTTATCGATATCTAACGACAATATGTCGTATAAAATGAAATTTGCGGCAGCAGCTGCTGCGGTGACATTTGCATTCCCGGCATGTGGCGGGACACTCGGCATGTGTTCGGTGTGGCAGCTCAGGGACATGACGTTTCCCCATTTTCTGTAATTTCGTTAACCAAAAGTTGGTGGCTTCATTCAGCCTGACAAGTAATTAATATTGAACTGCTATTGCAGATTTCATATGTATGCGCACACTTTATAAATACTGTGATTCTCATTATCATAATTTGCATTAACATTCAACAATGCTAATTGGCAACTACTTAGCAACGTTCGGTATGCACATAGAACTTCGTCATTCGAATTCATTTACTATAAAGCAGAGCTAACTTTACTTGGAAAGATATATAATATTGAATATACAATATTGAATATATAGAATATACCGTACATGTAGATAAGTACATTCATTTAATTGATTAATTGATTTCAATTATATACGAACTAACCCTACTTGGAAAGATATATATTATTAATTATAGAATATGTAACATATAGACTATCTAACCTGCTCGTCAGTCAGTCCTTCTTTCCGTCTGTATGACCTCGGAAACTACAGATGCTTTGAAATTTACATTCTCCCAGAATGAGTGAATTTTGTTTCATATTTGACCCCATTTCCATAAATGATACCCAATTCGTTCTGTAGGTTATTTTATACACAGATTATGTATCTTTCTCTTGTTTATCTTAACCCAATTTCAATGGTTACAGTGTATACCACTTGGTTCCTTGGTTATTTTTATACCCTGAACCCATTAAAATGGGTATAAGGGTATATTGTATTTGTGCAAAATCCAACTGTATGTAACAGGCAGAAGGAAGCATCTCCGATCCCATAAAGTATATATATTTTTGATCAGCATCAATAGCCGAGTCGATCTAGCCATGTCCGTCTGTCTGTCCGTCCGTCCGTCCGTATGCCTGAATGCAAGGATCTCAGAACCTATAAGAGCTAGAGACTTGAAATTTTAGATGTAGGTGCTCCTAGTGCCTGCGCAGATCGAGCTTGTTTCCGATGATCGATAACTTACTCCGTTTCCAATCAATCGATAAAAAACAATATCGATATCCTGTTTTTTGCGCAATTTTAGTAAATAATAAGAGCTAGAGTCACCAAACTTGACATATAGCTTCTAAAATAGAATATATATATGCATTTGATGTTGGAAGAAGAGGGTTCAGGGTATTCCCTAGTCGGGAGTTCCCCTTACTTGTTTTAAACTATGTACGTTTGAAAAAAATAGCTCGCCAGGTATTTGTAGATTTTTTGTGTGTGTGTCTGTTTGTGTGTTTTTTCGCGTTTTTCGTTAAAACCAATATGGTTTTGCGATTGATGAACGATTTACATTTGGCTTCGAGAGATTTCATTCTTTGGTTGAAATGTTTTCTATGGTAAGCCCAAATGATAAAATTGAACATTTTTTTTACACATAGTTTACTAACCGTCTACCCAAAGTATAGAAAAATCGTGAAAAACGGTTGTATGCAACGTGAAAATTCATTAATACTGGTTTCACAGTTTTTGCAATATCCACCCATTTTTAAATGAACAATGAGCCTTAAAGTTGGCATGCACGAAAGTTTATTTTTCGGCTTCAAGCCTCACACCACGGAACTAAAATGTTAGTTTCAAATTTTGATTCCTAATTTGATGGGCTTTACAGTTATTCTTAAATATCAATGTCTCTTAAATATTTCGTGAGTAAGTACAAATAATTTAAATTGTCTACGGGCAGGAAATAGGTGAGTAATAGATAACTAAAATTGTAGGCAAAAAACTTGCCACTATTTTTCGATTTTTCGACACTTGCAAGTGGGATTTCCCAAATGTTCTCCGTCTCAGTGTGCAGCTTCATCAGTTTCTTAGCTCCTACGGTTTGGGCTGAGCATGGACCACCAGTCAGTCAGTCGATCAGTGAATCAATCAAATGTCTGCTAATGCATGTCTATGTATATGCGGTCATTTCACGTCGGGATATTAATAAATCAGTTCCGCTTCACCTACAACTTGTAGACAAATATATGAATATAATTGTCTTATTGGTTCCCTATCTTGTATATGACTTGTGCTAAAGACAATATAACTAGATATAGATAAAGATGCTATATATAAACTCAATTACATAGTTATGCACGATTGCTCCTGCTGTTCAATGCTTGCTTAAGAAATTAAAAGACAAAACCTTTTGTCGCTACCCCAGGCCCAATTTCAGAGTATTTCCTAGTTCAGTACTTTTAAGCCTGTTTACAATAAAATTAAATTTGTATTTAATTTAATGACCATATTAACTTCCAAACAAACTTTCATAAATAAAGCATGTATTAATTTTCCATTTAATATTTATTTTACAAACATTCGACGTATTTTTTTATTAATCAGTCAAATTTATATTTTCAGTAAAGCTGTAAAAGTTATTGTAAAAAACCGCACTGGCTTTTAGCTCTCCATATTTAACATAATTGCAAAATGATTATGTTAATCTCACGCAGTATCTGCATGCTTTTTGATAAATATATTGATTTTATTGTGCAAGATAAACATTATATAGGTGGTATGTACATAGTTCTCTGCACGTTATACACGTCGAATGCAGATTTTTAAAATTTATGGTAATGACGCTCAAGAAAATTTCAACTTAAGTACGAGTACACTCGAGTTAGCATAAATGCACATCGATATAGAGTCTTGACTCGGCAGCGCAGTGTGCAGCTGAGCTCTTCGTTCAATGGTTGGGTGTGGTGTATGTGGGTTAACCTAATGGAACTGCTGTTCAGTTGCTTCGCTTGAAATTTAAATTTGCCAAATGTAAGACTCGTGTGCTGCTGGAGAGCCCATTTGGCTGCTGAGGCAGTTGCTTATGCAGCAAGAGCTTCAAGCACGTCATTAGAGACTCTGCACGCGCCAATTAGTTGGATGCCAAGGGGTCAGAGCTTCGAATTACAATTAGTCAAAGCCGTAGTCGTTGTTAGTTGATTATAGGGTGCCATTTGGCCAAAATGCGGGCGTTAAAGGTTAGCGGGTCATATTTATTCACTTTGTCTCCGGCTTGAGCCCGACAAATGTATGACAAATGCCGTAGACATCACGTAACCGTCGAGCCTCAATAAACGAGCAGCTCATGGAGCACCTAATAGTATTTATATATCTAGTCGAATCGTTTCTAAAATGGCGCTAATGGGCACGCAAGGCACACAGATACACACACACACACATACGCTTACATTCACAAAAAGAGATATTGAAACATTACAACTGGAAAATGGTAATAAATTTTGGACTGCCTCCTGGGCAAAAGATGGCCGCGACGGAGGCACGCACAGGGCTTGTGTCGGAGATGGCAGGAACTTAGCATGATGGCTGTAAATTTACAGCTGGGTCGTTGCGTAAGGTTAAGCGGGCTCAACATCAGCTGGTACTGTGCCTGTTTCCTGTCTGCTACGTGGCACACACATATCGGCACCGACATACAAGAGTAACATGATAAGTTTTGGCGTGTGTGTGTGAACCAAAATCACTTTGCCTGATTAAATGACGCAAACCAGCAACAGTAGCAGCAGCAGCAGCAGTAACAGCAGAAAAGACAGTACCAAAAGTAGTAGCAGGAGCAGATATTCAGTTAGTATGCACCTTGGCCAAAATTAATGCCAGCCATTACGGTGAATTGTTAAAAATGTCTGGCTAATATAACCCTAATATAAGAGAGCCTGCTTAGAATGTGCATTCGACCCTTATTTATTGTATTTAAGGAACTGATTTAAATTGATGGCCACATTTGCCAAGTCTGCCAGCCTGCCGCTTGCCACTCACTTAATCAAATTTCAGCCATGCAAAAAGCCTTCAAATTGGCTTCGTGTGTGTCACATTCGTAAAGGGGGTAATTTATTTCATTTCCGAGCCGACAAGCCGCGCATTTATGGTTGGATGACTATCCCCAATGCTGCTTCCACCTACACAATACCCGCACAATTAGAAATCATTTAACAATTTTTGTATTAGCTTTTAATTAATGCCGATGCAGGTGCCCTCTGCGTGATGCGTGCGGTGTGCCACCGGTGGATGTTGCTGCCCTCTTAGCTTTTGATTCGCCTCTCCTGTTGTGTCTAAATGGCAAAGATCCGAATGTTATCGTCGCTATGTCAGTCAATTAACGGCAAGAGATTTTACTTTTCCTTAGATCTGATTCGTATAAATTCATATGACAGATATTTCAAACGCAAAGTGCCCTTAGGTCATTAACACGACAATAAATCATTTAATAAAACTTATTGGTGTCTTCTTTTTGTTGATATAGCATAATTTTGGAAGCGCTGATAACTTGCTAAGCAAACACGAGCGTTGAACTCTGAAGTGTTATTAGCTTCAAATAGTTAAGAAGTTTTTTCTTGAAGGGAGGAAAGGAACGAGATACATAAATATATATTTTCATATTCTAAGCAATCAATAACATGCCGAATTTATGTGGAAATTATTATTTTATAAGGCTCCGGCTTTACGTTTAAAGAAGAATGCTAGTATTATTTAATCATAGATGGTTGCTGATTTTCCTAATTTTTTTTGTAAATGTAAAACAAAAAGAATACACACTTTAATCGCAAAGCAGGATTTAGTTTATAAATAAGCTTTAGAAAGTCGTTTCGTTTCCTTTTAGTTCACAGGGTCTTTTCAGCTAAGTAGGTCTTCTTATTTGCTATAAGTTTTCATTGACAATGTTTGTAAGCCAGATATATTTAGCAAACCAAAATCTAGAAATACTGGCTTCAAAGTGCTTTCCG